TTAGAACCAGCGGCAGTGGACAAGGTAAGTGTTTGGTGGTGGGGGGCATGTAAGGGTACTGGAGTGTTTGTTACTCTAAGGCAGCGGTTCTCAACCTGTGGGTCGGGACCACTTCGGGGGTCGAATGACAATTTGCCAGGGGTCGACGGGAGTCTCCCGCTATTAGATAGCGGCTCCCGGCCGCCCGGGAGAGAAACACTTTCTCCCGTAAAGTGCTCTGCTTGGAATGCATAGCTAGATTCCTATTGGCTATTTCACTTTGCAATAGCAAACTAGCTATTGCACCCGCCCACTGCTGCTGTCAATCAGCAGAGGGGGACCTGCAGTTCTCCATTAGGTCCCCATCTAGTGATTATCATCATTATTATTAATAATAAAAGCTGACACCCTCGGCTTGTGTTATATGGTTTGCCATTTTAGCTGTTACAACAGTGGTTCTCAACCTGTGGGTCGCTGTGTGATTTCTGCTGTGCTAGGTGAGAGTCCTCCTCAGCCCTCTCCTAGCACAGCAGTGTCAGTTCTCCCGCCACGCCGCCAGATGTCGCTGCAGCAGCCGCGTCAACCCTAAATTTTACCGTTGGGGGTCACCACAACTTGGCAAATGTTACCAAGGGGTCCCGGCCCTGGAAAGGTTGAGAACCACTGCTCTAAGGCAAATAATGCATTAAGGTAAAAAAAAAACACAGGGCCTTCAGTACTACTTTTAGGTAAATACTTCTCTGAGTTGTATCATTCCCCAGATAGACTAACAGGGTTATTCACAAACGGGTCAAGAGTTTGGAGAAGTGAACAATCTAGGACAACATAGCTGACCTGGAAAGCGAGCTGATTAGGAGGATTCTTCAAAATCAGCTACTTTGGCCTAGATTGTTCACTTCTCCTGCCTTCTCCAAACTCTTCACCCTTTTGTAAATAACCTTGTGTCTGTTATCATCTGCATCAGCTGGCTGGGGGCACACTTTAATTGTTTGATCTCTTGCCCAGAGTTATTAAAAATGCATTCAAGTACCTTAACTATCAACAAAAGTGTATCTTAGTTGTGTATCACTGAGATGTAGATCCTCAAATCATCTCTGACTTGGTGCTGACACTGTGCTTCCTTCTGGAGGGTGGCTACTTTTGTTCTACATGAGTGATGGACTACAATTTCAATACAAATCAGTAAACTAAAGTTGAGATTTTAGTCCATCACGGGAGCGAGCTTGGAGCGGTGGCTACTTTACAACACACACAGGGACCATGGGGAACAAAAGTAGCCACCCTCCAGAAGCAAGGACAGTGTCAGCACCAATTCGGAGATGATTTGAGGATCTACAGCTGAGTAACACACAAATAAGGTACATTTTTGCTAATAGTAAGGTATTTCGATGCATTTTTAAGATCTATCTCCTTAGTTCAGTGTCACTTTAACCACTTCAAGACCAGGTGTTTAGACCAACTTCCTGGCCAGGCCATTTTCAGTGTTCAGCGCTGCAGTACTTTGACTGACGTTCATTCCGTCATGCAACGCTGTACTGAAATGAATTTTTACCATTTTTTGGGGACAGATAGAGATTTCTTTTGGTGGTATTTCATTTTATTTTTTACTATAATTAGGAAAAATTACAGAAAATTTTGACAAAAAAAAAAGTTTTTTTTTTTTTACATTATGTTAGGAAACATTTATTATTACCTAGTTTTTTGCTAAAATATAAAAGATCGGGTAAATAGACACCAAACATGTCAAGCTTTAAAATTGTGCGCACCCGCGAAATCGCAGAAAACTACCATACCCGATCGGCACCCCATACATGCGATCCGCCCGCTCTACAGCCGGCGGATCGCTTGTATGGTAGCAGGCATCACTGCCTGTTTTTAAATACCGGCCATTTCCCGCTCGCGCACGCCGAGGGGGCGTGTCTGAGCGGACGTCTAAAGACGCCCGCTCAGATCTAGAGAGCTCCCGGCCGGCCGTTTTTTTACTACGGCCGGCCCGGAGGCAGTTAAAGCAGAATTAAGCTTTTCCGGTCCCCTTGGACCTTTTGCCACAATGTGCATATACAGTTTTGTGAAAAAGAAATACACCCACTTTGAATTCAATGCTGCTACATATCAAGACATAATAAAAATAATCTGGTCCTTAGAATTAGGTCAATACAACCTCAGATGAACAACAACACATGATGTATTATTTATTTTACAAACATAAAGCATGTGTGAAAAACTACAGTTGGGCAAAAAAGTATTTAGTCAGCCACCAATTGTGCAAGTTCTCCCACTTAAAAAGATGAGAGAGGCCTGTAATTGGCATCATAGGTAGACCTCAACTATGAGAGACAAAATGAGATCCAGACAAATCACATTGGCTGATGTGTAACGAATTTATGTGGAAATTATGGTGGAAAATAAGTATTTGGTCGCCTACAAACAAGCAAGAGTTCTGGCTCTCACAGACCTGTAAAAGTCCGTCTTGCCCAGCGACAGCCCCAAAACATCACTGCTCTAGAGATCTGCATGGAGGAATGGGGCAACATACCAGCAACAGTGTGTGCCAACCTTGTGAAGACGTACAGGACACGTTTGACCTCTGTCATTGCCAACAAAGGATATATAACAAAGTATTGAGATGACCTTTTGATATTGACCAAATACTTATTTTCCACCATAATTTGCAAATAAATTCGTTCCAAATCAGCCAATGTGATTTGTCTGGATTTGTTTTCTCATTTTGTCTCTCATAGTTGAGGTCTACCTATGATGCCAATTACAGGCCTCTCTCATCTTTTTAAGTGGGAGAACTTGCACAATTGGTGGCTGACTAAATACTTTTTTGCCCCACTGTAACTTAAAAAAAAAAAAAGTTTTTTTTTTTTTTTTTACCAAAAACGGCCCGGAACGCATCACATACGTGGCACAACCCACTGCACTGAGTGTGCAGAAACCTGACCGGATCTGCCCTGCATTTGGTGTGAACAAGGCCTAAGAGGCTAAGTAGCAGAGTGTGCTTTCCTTTTCACACAACTGTAGGCACAGAGTATTATGGCACTCCTAAAGTGCCCCCCTTCAGCTCTGTGACATCCATGATCTCCCTCGTCGCTGGTGCTTCCATCTTCTCCCGAGTTCAGAAGTCTTCAGCTGTCTTTATTGTCTGGGGCAAGATGATGCAACGCCTGCACACAGGAGTTAATTTACCCTGAGATGGATACAGTAAGCTGCATTTGAATGATTGTCAGTGTACAATTCAATAAAAAAACTGCTAGAAGACAGGGGGGAAAGGTTTTATTGCAGGAGAGATATAGTTTCTTCTACCAAAAATATAAATCTGCTAGTGTTTTAATACATTTCATGTTTAGTTCCACTTTAAAGGACAAGTGCACTCTAAGGCCTCATTCAGACAGATGTGCAAGTTCTGGTGTGTGCATGACAGCGTACAGCCACATCCTCCCATAGGGAAGAACGCGCTGCCGCGTGCAATTACACGCAGCACCTGTCCCTCCCTGGATCAGCTCTTTTACGGGCGTGCGCTCCGCACAGGCGCGTCTGCCCTGTCTGAATGAGGCCCAACACAAAGTGCACTTGGTTCTTGCCCCTTTGCTGTGACCTAAACTAACCCACCCTCTGCCTCCACATATGCACACAAGGCCAGGAGAGTGAAGCTGCCCATACACTGTAATATTTCTTTCATTCAACTTCCGGGCTGAACGAAGAAAATATACAAGATTCCTCCATCACTGCTTACCAGGGTTAGAGTACCTCTTAATCCGATCATCTTCTTCTGTCCCTCAGCACTGGTACGGGTCTCTGATCCAGCGCTGACTCCTCTGTCCTCTTTTCTCATGTCCCACGGAGTCTGTGCGGGTGCACGCTGCTCCATAGACTTACCTTGTGTCTCTCCTCGTCTCCCGTCCGAAGATCTAAACTGCGCATGCGCCCGACCGAAGATCCTTTGTGGCCGCCTGATAAATTTTCAGATGTTCGGACGGGAGCGCGTAGTAGAGACACAGGTAAGTATTAACCCTTTGAAAAGGTTTTTAAAAAAAATAGTTTTGCATATATATTACTGCTCACTAGCAGTAGATATATGCAAAAAACAATGAGGGTTTAATAACCATTTAATTAAGGAATCTCCTCATGTCTTCATTGTATTCTGACGGCGGCAGCTGACAGAATAACCGAACAGAGCCGGCAGCTCAATGGCTGCCAGCTCTGTTCGTTTGAAGATTTTCCAACTGGCTCCTTTGATCAACTGATTGAGGGATGGCAGCTGGAAGGGTGCCGACAGCGGCACCCACTGTGCGAATTTCGGCCAGTTCATCAAGTGTGTGGGCAGCTTAAGACTTGTAGCGATGGATGTAAACAATCTCCGGAGGCAGCAGCCATTAGATCTAGGTAAGTACGCTCTGTGGATGGTGGGCTAGAGCAAAAAAGGATAAGTGCACTTTAAGGGCTCATCCACACGAGTGCATTAGTGCATGCCATGTAAAAATTCTGCGCTGGAAAGCACATTTGCTTTATGCAGCTGGCCATAGTCATAAATGGCTGTAATCCCACGTAGAGACTGGTGACCATACACTATGCGAATTTCAGCTGGTTCTTGATTAAGCTGGCCACTGTCAGAATACAATGAAGGCAGAGGGAGATTCCTTGATCAACGCTTGTAACATTGTATGGTCAGCTTTATTCCCCAAACAGAGAAAGCCCACATTTGGAAAAGCACCCCGTACACTGTATATGGGTTTACAAACATACAATTGTATAATCACCTACAGTCATTCATATCTATGGGCTTCCCCTGCTGTGAGAAAATAGCCAGAATGATTACATTGTTGTATGTGAGAATGAGCCCTTCTACTGTCTTTATTAGGGCAGTTTATATGGAAAAGTGGAGGGAAATATAATTATGTGCAATAAAAAAAAAATGAATTCCTGTAGTATACTATTGACATGTATTTACCACACAGTTATCAGAATACATTTAGACACAGTGATCCTCTAACCAACCAATCAAACTCCATCTGGCTTTGGCCTGCCATGGCCAGAGGTCGTGTATTGGTTGCTATGGGTTACAGCATTCAGGGACGAGCAGGCCGCACGTAGGGAACATAGCCACCAATAGGAGTGACGGAGAGGGCAGTGTTGTCAGCACACAATAGGGGAAGATCCGGATCACGCTTCCCTCTCCCGCCAGCGGCAAAACCGACACAACAACACAGCTCGCCACCTCCACCTCTTCCCGCCTACCGGACGTCCTCCAGCTGCTCGCTACCGGAAGTTCCCGGCGGGACTGTCTGAACGCGAGGCGATCACCGGGGAGCCGTCCAGCTGAACGCGGATCACCGGAGATCACATGGGTACCGATGTTTTCCTAAGTCCTATTAGAGGTGGAGCGCCACTCTCGCGGCGGGCCCGGTGGTCGCCATGATAAGTTGTGTAATTGTATGTGTTGTATCTCCTCAGTGCCATGCCGCTGCTACACCGGAAACCGTTCACTCGCACTCCGCCGCCCGCAGACCTGGAGCCTACCGAGCGCCTCTTCTACTGCCGGGTGACTAACGAGGTGTTCAGGGACTACGAGTAAGAAGCCGGATCCTGTCTTTGTTGTCCTGCCATTGTACTCCACAACTTCCCTCCCAGCACATGTCATAATATGAGGGCGATCCTTAGCCGTATGCCGGGCAGTTCACAGGAAGTACTGTGTGTGGGGTACGAGTGTACCCTCAATATGTCCAGTGCCAGGCACTAGTACTGTATGAGGTACATGTGTACCCCCAATATGTACGGTACCAGTGACAGGAAGTACTGTATGTGAGGGTCATGTGTACCACCAATATCTACAATGCCAGTCATAGGAAGTACTGTGTGTGAGGTACATGTGTACCCCCCCAATATGTACAGTCCCCATCATAGGAAGTACTGTGTGAGGTACATGTGTTCCAACAATATGTACAGTGCCAGTCATAGGAAGTACTGTGTGTGAGGTACATGTGTGTCCACACTATGTACACTGCCAGTCATAGGAAGTACTTTGTGTGAGGTACATGTGTACCTGCAATATGTACAGTGCCTGTGTGAGGTACCTTCAACATGAAGAGTGCCAGTCATACCGTAGGCAGTACTGTGTGTGAGGTACATGTGTACCCCAATATGTACAGTCCCGGTGACAGGAAATACTGTATGTGAGGTACATGTGTACTGCTAATATGTACGGTGCCCATCATAGCAAGTACTGTGTGCGAGGTGCATGTGTAACCCCAATATGTACAGTGCCCATCACAGAAAGTACTATGTGTGAGGTACATGTGTGCCCCAATATGTACTGTGCCTGTCATAGGAGGTACTGTGTATGAGGTGCCTGTATATCCCAATATGTACAGTGCTGGTCACAGGAAGTACTGTTTGTGAGGTACATATGTACTCTCAATATGTACAGTGCCGGTCACTGGTACTGTATGTGAGGTACATGTGTACCCCAATATTTACTGTGTGGGATACAGTGATTGGAAAAGCCAGAACTAGTTAAAGGGAATGTCCGGCCAAACGTTTTTCTTTTTTCATTGTGGATAGAGTGGGGCAGTATTGGAACACCTGTCTGGTTTTTGTTTTTTGGGAGTTCTGTTCGATTTCTCCTTACTTCCTGTCCCTCAGTAAAGATTAAATCAGACAGGAAGTGAGGGAAAATTCCATCGGAATTCCAACACAACGTAGAGGAATGCTGGGACACCGGTCATCTCTTTGTCACTGTGTCCCTGGTACAGTTTTCTGTCTGCGTCTGTCTGGTTAAACTGTTGTCACCCTGACAGGCTAGATTTGCATTTTTGCTCAATGTATTTATTGAAATCTGTAGAAGCCTAATAAATCACATGGCGACACATGTGAGCGCATTATCATTCAATCCAAAGCGCAATACAATGCACATTTTGATGCGTTTCCGTTGATTTCAATAGAAAATGAAAACATTGGTGTGATTCCAGCTTTAGTGAGGCAGAATATCTCCATCTGGCTCCCAGCTACAAGTACAAATCCCCCCGGAAGTTTTATTCCCTTCCCACACTTTCCAACACCAAAAACATTGTCTGGATGTACATTTTAAGGCCTTGTTCACATTGAGCGATTTATCACGCGGTAATTCCCGCGATATCGCGTCAATTTACTGCGCGATATCGCTCTCCAATGCTTCTCAATGGGGCAAAGGGTCCTGCTGTCGCGGGTCGTGTGTCGCTACAGCAGGACCCTTTTTGGAGCGGATTTAGCCGCGATTCAAGCTTGCTCAATGCAAGCATTTGCGCAATATCGCGCAAAATGCAAATCGCGCGACAAACGCGCGATTTGCGAACCGCTCAATGTGAACGGGGCCTTAGTAAAGGGCAGACTCTCCACACAGAGAATGTATTTAAAATGAAATAAAGAGTATTCTTCTTTGAGCTGAGGCTGCGGGTGATTGATCTGTCATTATTAAAGGTGTCAAATATTAAGTGTAACCATCAAGTCCTGCTGTGACCCAGGTGGATGCTAACAATAAGCACAGCCACAAAATGCAACTCGATGGGGGGATTTATGAAAACTAGAGCAGACAGAATCTGGAAAAGTTGCCCATGGCATCCTGTCTGCTTCTCTCGTTAGTTCAGTTAAGATTTGAAAATGAAAGAGAGAGAGAGAGGCTGATTGGTTGCCATGGGCAACTGCTCCAGATTCTGTCTGCTCCACTGTTGATAATTTCCCCCCGTATCTATTGATTTGGGAGCTTTGGGTGATTATTAGAGGGGCAGGATGGTAATCCCCTTCACCTCTAATTATTGTAAATTAGAAAAGCTAAGTGTTACTGTAAAATATAATCTGCATTGTAAAGATGTACAACAGGTAGCTGCAAACAGCTAGAAATTGCTGCTTTAGGCCCCATTCACACGGGCGGTTTTGCCGAGCGGATTTTTCAGCACTGAAACGCATATGAATAAAATCCCATACATTCCTATGGAGGCCGTTCACGTGAACGCACAGAAATAGTCCCTGAGCTTCTTTTGTCGCGCTGATCAGCTCGTTTTGCTCCATTGACCAATGGAAACGCGCTGATCAGTGCGTTTTTATGCGCCTTTCAGCAGTTGAGCCTGCTTCTCATAGGACAACTAATAACAAGCTTCAAAAAATGCTGTGACATATGAACATAAAACGCCTGAAATACTCGCTACAAAAAACACGTGAAGAAACGCTGTCGCACTGGTGTGAATGGGGCCTTGTATCTTTTGAGTTGGGAGCTTGTGGTGAAATTCAGGAGAGAAGATGGGATTGATCTGTCCTCATGGAACAATAGAAATGCCATGTACAACCACAAAGTGCACATTTATGGATATAACCCCTGAGATGCAAGGAGCCAGTGCTTTTGTTCTCCTAAAGTAATAGTCCAATCCTAGAGTAAGCTCAAAGCTTACAAAATGTTAGTTGCCTGGCTGCTATGGTGACATATTGGCTTTCATACTTGAAGTTGCTGACCAGGAAGAAGTATGATGGTAAGAATAGCCAGACGTCATTATTTAAACACTTGGTTCTGTTTAGTGACTGATGGTATTGAAGCAAGTGGGCTAATATGACTGCCATAGTTTCTGCAAACTAGTATTTTCAGAAAGAGAGGACAGCAGTGGCAGCCTCCATGACAGGTTTCTTATGTCGGTGCTGAGGGACTTGCTGGCAAGGTAGTTATCGGCTAGTGTTTGAAGTCCCTCGTAGTTTGACTTTTCTTTTCAGATCCTCTGGAGTTGTCATTGATATTTAAGTTTTTCCTTGTCCACTTTTGTTATGAAAGCCCGGCTTGCTATGCATTTGTTCTGTGAAGTACTTTTACCCGTTCCCTGTACCCGTCCTCACATGTGGCTACACTTTTTGGTTTTTGTAATTTGTCATTTTTTGTCTTTTCTGTACTTTTTTTTTTTTTAATGATCAGTCAGATAATACATTGCTGGCAGTAACTTATCAGGGCTCGCAGTCCTGCGTGATTTCATGCTGGCCATCTTCCTTCTCTTTGTTTTCAGTTGCTTTTGTTTGAGATAGACACAACTCCCTGACTGTTCCCTTTGAACACAGCAGACGTGCAGAGAGGCTGGTGCAGCAGCTGAGTTGTCGGTTGCAGTAGAAAGCATCTGAAGACACAAAGCCTGCATGTAATCTGAGTGCTTGGCAATATGTATTTTACAACTGGAAGTTATTGTTCTGGGAGCAAACTGCACACATGTGCTTTCCTAAGCGAAACTTTGTCATTTACATAAACCTACTGCCCTCATCTGCTGGATTTCACCTATTTTCTCCCAATCCATGTAATCCTTTTGGACATTTTTGGTACAAAATGTTAATCTTTGTAATTTCCTTTGTTTATCTTTGTGTATGGTTGGTTTTGTGGTTCTTTTAGTGTTTCACAGTTAAATGTAGAGTTCATAACTTATCAGTAAATCTATTTGCTGCTGTTTTGAGGTCTTTGCTGAGCACAGGTGGTTCTTAGAGTGAGCAAAGCTCTGTAATACCTGACTTGTTAGATTTCCTATATGGATTAGAGACCTGATCTCAAACTTCTAACAGTGCGCACTTCTTGTGAGTTTTGGGGCCCTGCAACCTGCCACAAAAATGGAGGATACTGCTATAGTATTATGGGTACTAAACATTTTCCGGTTCAGGCCCGTCTAGCTATGGTATGCTAAAGAGTGATGATGACCACGTAGGTCATACATTTTTTTTTTTTCCCCGTGTCTTACCATTGGAGAGGTGGAAACCATTCGCAAATTATGGTGGGAAATAAGTATTTGGTCGCCTACAAACAAGCAAGAGTTCTGGCTCTCACAGACCTGTACCTTCTTCTTTAAGAGGCTCCTCTGTCCTGCACTCATTACCTGTATCAATAAGATATATCTCTATATATATATGTATAGATATATATAGTTTTACAAAAAGGGTTATTTTTCAGAACTGCATTGTGGTTGTATGACCAGTTTTAGATGTAAATGATGGAAGGAAGGGGAGGGTGGAGAAGGGGGCAGATACTCTGTGCCCTGTAGAAAATAATGAAGGGTAATGGATTTACCAAGTTCTTGGTTTGGTATTTGTAGCACAGTTGCATATGACTCTAATGACCTGTGTTCATTGCCTTTTGTTCACATCAGAACTGTTCCTCTCACCAGATAATACTATGGGAATGCAAAAGCAGCATGAATCAGGTTAACTGCACCTGTCTGTACATTTTGAATGATCTCAGAAGCTTCTCAAACTTATGTCAAAAGTAAGCTATGTTTGCCCTTCAACACATGTCGTTACTGTGGCCATTTTATAGTTGCTATTGCGAAACTTTCCCTCTGAAAAATAGCAGTTTGCTGGGTGTCATGCTGAGCAAGTAAGCTTGGAGGAGTATGTTGTATAGGATGTTGTACACTTTGCCTTACATGATTCCCATTCTAAGGTTTCTGTCTCAAAGTAGTGCAGTTACTGTCATTAACGTAAGACTAAAATAGGTAGGTGCTTTAGTCTTTCTATATAGCAAGCCGTTCATTTTACTTTAACCACACTAACGGAGTCAATCAGCCTTTTTACGGTGTACAGAATGCATCCTGTAATACAGTCCTCACCCTGCTTGTAAGTTTTCTGTATTTCCAGGCTTCTTATGTTTAGTTATTTTAAAATATTTTTCCACCTTTTTTTTTTTTTCCTTCTTTTTAACACAGTGAGTTTTTTGAGCGCACTATTCTGTGCAACAGCCTTGTATGGAGCTGCTCCTTCACGGGAAAGTCTGGACTCACCTATCAAGAAGCGCTGGAGTCTGAGAAGAAAGTAAAGAAGAGTTTGCATAATTTCCCCGAGCCCATAGCGGTTCCAGCACTATATCTGGCTACACTTGCCAGTCATCAGAAACTAACAGACCTGTGCGATGATATATATGAATATGTGAAGGATCGCTTCTTTGTTAGTGAAACTGTTATGGTTGTGAGAAACAGTGGAGCAAGGTAATGATTTTTGCACATTATAGAACTGAAAGACTTATGAAAAATTAGTTGATTACAATACGATGAGTGTTGATAGTACAATGACTGAAGTTCTTCTTGATTTTGTCTGATAGTTGGATTTTACAGTCAGTCTTCATGCTTTGTTGTTAATCTTTCAACTAACATCCTTTTTAAACATGATGGCATTGCACAGCACTGATTGGAGGAACAGACATGATAGTGGGCGGGCACAGCTAGCTGTCACTTAGGTAGTTGGGGTGGATTCCCACAATATTGTTGGGCTACGTCCTGGCTGCAACACAGCTCTCCAATATCGGCAGATAACGGTAAATGTACTCCTATAACCCAGAAGAGAAGTAAAGCCAAAATAAGTTTGGCTTTACCTCTCTTTTTAGAAATGAGAAAGCTGGAAGGAAAGGATTAGGTGTGTGTTTTGGGAATCGGTGTATTTTATTCATTTTATGTTCATCAGTTTTACATTTTTAAATGTATCAGCCTCAATATTATCCACACCCATCTTTGCCTTTATATAGTTTATGAACATCTGGGCAGAACATTCGAGGTTGAGGATCAGCCTCTCCTTGCAAAGGATTGGAAATAGGGGCTACCCAGAAGCATATCATCTATAATCCCAACCCATAATAAACACCCGAAATATGGCCTGCTGTATTTGACATATAGGGACATTGGACCAGAGATGGTTCGCTGGGGGTGAATGCAGCCAAATCTCAAAGGGGTTACGGGACAGTAATAAAACAGGGTATTTAATTAGGCTAGCAATCTATGAGAGATCAGGGACTCGGTCATCCGCATCTTTATCCTCATCTTCTTTCACATATGTAATCTTAAAATGTATTTAGAGCTAATATGTTAACTTCAGTTTAGGATGTTGTAATGAAGGATTAAAGCCCTATCGGTTTATTTTTTGGTGTCTTGTTTTTGGTGTCTTGTGTCCCATTGGGGAGATTTTCTTTTACGTTCTGTCCCATAGACATAGACAGGTAGTAGGAGTAAGTACATAGTGAGAAGTCCCCTCCTGGTTAGCAGAGCAGGTGTCCCCATTGGAGGATTTCCAGTCTATTCCTGTTGTGGCAGCTGCGAAAAAATTGGATTTCCTATTAGTTTCTTTCCCGCTGACAGTGTTCACTAGGACAAATAGAGGATGTGAATCCACCCAGTGGGGACATAGGTGGCAAACAAAACGTGATGGGTTCTAATCTTTCCTAGTCTATTTTAGGACTTAAAACAAGATACTTTTTGATTATTTCTTGACTTGTGAAAGATGTAACTTTGTAACTGACCTGTATCAAATGTAGGAAACATTTTACATGAAAATAAAATTTTAAGGTATACATTTTTTTTCTAAAATGTCATTCTATATAATATAATATAAATCTTTGTTCTTGGCTGTGTGGATTTAAAAGACAATGAAGGATCTGCAGCTTGATTTGAACTGCCTTTTGCTAGTTTGAATATATCACTGAAGCAGTAGCATGTATCAGGAGTCCAAACTTGTATTATCAGTGGCTCACTTTTTATATTTTTGTATCAGGTTGGAGTGCACAATTTTGGAGATCAAAGCTCCTCCACAACAGAATGGGATGACAAACGGTCATGACGTCAACAATGACACCATTGTCATCAGTGATAGCGATGATGAGGAGCCTACTGTACCAGACAGCTGGTAAGCAGACCTTAAACTAAACCATTGCTATGTGCATATTTGTTAATATTCCAGCCTGTTCTATCATGCGTCTTCTTAGTGTTAATGGTAATAGGGTTTATTCATAAAACAAAAGTAAACATGACCGTTCCCAAAATCAAACTGTTATAAGAATTAACTTTGCTATGCTGTGGCTACATTGTTACTGTCGGTTCCTAAGAGAAGTAAATACTTGTAGCATCCGTGCACTGCAGTACTAAAGTATTTTGCTTGTAGTAATTGTCTGATACAGACTATATTTTTCTTTCACAAAGTACTGTGTCTGGACCCTGCTGGATTGGACATTGCAGGAATATCTTGAAAGTGATATTTGGACCCTGGGTTCCATGGCAGAGATCTGCTTCATCAGCTTCTTCTCTCTGGCTATAGCAGCCAGATGACTGACACTACACTACGGAGGGAGAGCAGCAAGGAGGAAAATGCTGATCTCCCTCCCATCTTACCTCCTGACGCCCTCCCAAGCCGGTCCCAGGCCGCAGATGGGCTAGTGGATTCCGGGATTGAAGGTGAGGCGGCGGCACTCGAGGAGGTGGGGCGCGCAGCCAGCCAGCACATACATACGATCAGCAGGCTATAGAGCCGCCGATCGTATGTATGTCAAACAGCCGGTAACGGCTGTAAAGAACGGGCCGTTTTTTTCTGCCCGTGCGCACGCAAAGAAGAAAATAAGCCGTCTAATTACGGCAACCCGGCCGTGTGAGTCAGCCGTCCGTTTTTTCACAACGGCCGGGCGGCATGAGGTTAAGGACCCCACCGATTTGTGGCTGAAAGCACTTTCTAGAGCTATGTTCTCGCCAGTGGATCCTGCCTTATAAACCTATTTTGGTCCTACACAAGAACAAAGTGGTGTAAAGGCCCAGAACTTCCCTCCCTAAAATCATTTCTGCCTTTTCATCTCAACAAGGACACAGTTCTTTTGTCTCTCTCTACGGCTCCTGTTCATCAAGAGGAGATTTCCCTCAATGGCTCGTTCAGAAAAAAAGATATCCTTTAAGTAATTCCAGATGGTCCCGGTAAGGTGCACCATTTCTCTCCCGTTCATTGAAGGACACAGGGCAACAGATCGTAGATCCTGAATGGTTGGGTATAATTTCACCATTTCTAGATGGCTTAGACAGGCCATTATTTAAGCTTACGGGCGCAAGGATCGAATTCCACCCATCTCCATCATATGTGGTCACATGTTCTCGGGTGGATTATAAGGCCTCTCCTGATTCCTGCTTTATACCAAAGGTCCTCCAGGTGGCTGTCTGAGCTGTGCAGGCAGTCCCCAGTTATGTTTTTTTTTTCTTGAACCTGTTAGCATTTGCTGTGTTGCCGACCCCTCATACTGCTTTTGGATATCTCAAAGGATTAGGACTGCTGTGTCCCTAAGTGAATGAGAAAGAAAATAAAGGATTGTCTGCTACTACAAGCATACCCAGTTTCATAGCAAACTGTGCAGAGAGCATGATCATAAACACAAAAGGGTGGTACCTGTGTCTGTCAATGGACTCCAAGAAAAGCATTTTACGATGATGGAAAAAAAATAGGATAACCCTTTAGAAATAGACGGGTGCATTCTGTCTTGGTTCTTTTTCTGTAAGCTAGAACATCTGTATCTTCCTTTCAAAATGGAAAATAATATAGTATTCAAATAGTAAAACCAGTCCTCAGGTAGGTGGGTCAAAAGGTACTAAAAAGTGAAGCATAAACTCTTTTTTTTGGGGGGGGGGGGGGGGGTTAATTTTTATTTGTTTTGTGATGTATGCTATACTTTAAAATTTACGAAATGTGTTAATTTTACACTAGTGGGGGGAGGTTTAGATGTTACGAACACGTTTATCCCTTAGTGACACCGCTTCAGAAAATGTTTTCATTCCTGATCACCAGAGCAATTTTTCCATTTTTGCTATGTGTTTAACCATTGTTTCAACTTCCTCATTCACTGCCCCTACATATATACCGTTTTTTAAAAGGACAAAATGGGCTTTAATTTAATGTGACGTATGCTTAAGCAATAATAATGTGTACGTAACAGAAAGTAATTCATGATGAATTCTTTTACTTGTCCTGACTTAACCACTTCCCGGCCGGCCGTTGTAAAAAAAACGTCCAGCCAGGAGCTCTCTAGATCTGACTGGGCGTCTTTAGACGTCCGCTCAGCCACGCCCCCTCACGCACGAAGCTGTATATTGCGGTCTCTCAGGAAATCGTCCAAAAGCTTCTTGAATGATTCCACACTATTTGCTGAAATCACTGCTTGTGGCAGTGGGTTACAGACCCTAACCGTGCGAACTGAGAAGAACCCCCTTCGCCCCTTGTGTTTGAATTTTTTTTCTACCAGTTTTAGGTGGTGGCCTCTAGTCCTCATAATTATAGACTTATCCCTGCAAAACATTCCCTTCTTGATGCAGGACAGGATTCTGCTTGCTTTGCTTACAGCAACCTGGCACTATAATCTATTAGGCTGGGTTCACACCTAGGCGTATTGAATATGCGCATTTGCGATTCGCGGTAAAAAAACCGCGCGACAAACGCGCGTTTCCGTGGGCTACTTGGCTGTATCCCAATGGAAACGCGAGACCAAAGCGCCCCAAAGAAGTACATGTACTTCTTTGGGCGTAGGCCGTTTTGTGTCGCGTTCGGACGGGCGGAAATACGGCAAGATGTGAACCAGACCCATTGAATATAATGGGATTTAGATGTTTGAGCGTTTTGTAGAGCGTTCGTCGAGCGTTGAACGCGCTACAAAACGTTCAGGTGTGAACCAGGCCTTATTCAGTTTGTGGTCTACAATGACCCCCAAATCTTTCTCCATTTCCGACTTCCCTAGCGGCATACCCATAATTGTATAACCCATTTGCTTATTTATGATCCCAAAGTGCATAACTTTGCATTTATCGACATTAAACCTCATCTGCCACATAGTTGCCCACTCCCCTATTTTATCCAGGTCCTCCTGTAATGTTATACTATCTTGGTCCATTTCTATTACCCTCCCAATTTTTGTATCGTCGGCAAGCACTGAGATATCACTGTTTACTCCGTCCCCGATGTCGTTAATAAACAGGTTGAATAGCATGGGTCCCAGCACAGAAACCTGAGGCACACCGCTAATGACACTTGCCCAGTCTGAGAGGGTACCATTTATTGATACTCTCTGTACCCGTTCCTTTAGCCAGTTCTCTATCCACGTACACACCCTTCCATCTATGCCCATAGACCTCAGCTTGTATAGTAAGCGTTTATGAGGTACCGTATCAAAAGCTTTTGCGAAATCCAGATATACCACATCCACAGCCCTCCCTCCATCCAGATCCATACTTACCCCCTCGTTGTAACAGATATAAATAGGCGTTATCTCTATTAGGCTGCAAAAGTAGAAATACACTTTTTAATGTTGCCTAAACAACGTGTTAAATATTTTGGGTTTGGGCTGTGGCTACATGGAAAATTTCTAAAAGCAAATCTGTCATTTGGTAGCTCAAAGAAATGTAAGATAATTCCTTTATTGCAGGCTTATGTACTGCTGGAGCCCCCCAGAAATCATACAGAAATTCTGTAAGTCTGTATTTGCCTGCATCTTATCTACCCATACCTCCCTATGTTACAGCTCCCTGTCTGGCAATAGATTTGCTCAGGCACTGATCAGTGATTGTGGCAGGTGCAGAGTAGTGTGGACATGTGCTTTTTGTAGGTGGATTTTTTTTTTTTGAAGGGCCTCCATTGGTAGATTGGGGTGGTGAGATGGCTTATAGCGCACTGGTACCCAACTTGCAGCCGGAGGCCCACATACAGGCCTTTGCTACTTGTTGTGTGGCCCTTGGACCCCAACAGTCCTTTTTGAAAGTGGCAGCATTGAACTGTGAAGTGCTGTAATGGCAGTGCTATCTATCACTGTTATGTGACATGTCTCTAACCACAAGTGGCATGGTCACATATTTTGACCATACACTGTAGTATGTCTGCAGTCTTGATAATTTGTCCAGCTCTATAAAATATAAAAAGCAACACAGAATGAATTCACCCAGAAGGTAATTTGTAGCTTGCCAATAAATTGGTATGAAGGCTAAACCTCTTATCAAGCTTAGTATGTTTCTAGCTCTGATCAGCCAGTATTATTCATCTGTATGACCTTTGTTTGTGGTTCACCTGTTTCTCAAGAGAGAGAGAAAATGGTCTATTACTAGTGCACCACACACATTTATAAATCCAAAAAATACTGGCTTGTTTACAATTTTTGATTTTGAAGGATTTCGTTTCATTTTTGTGCCTTTTTTTTTTTTTGCCTCTTGTAGGAAGAAAATTGAGCCTATCGATCCTACCTTATTCAAGTACAAAGTGAAGCCTGTTGTAGAAGCAATGTATGAATCTGTGACTGTCAGACAATGCCAAGTCAGGTATGTATTGGGACTGTGGACCTTGTAAGGCAGCAGGAATAATGCAGCATGGGATGTGATAGGATCCAGTTACACTCGTAAAAAAGCTGCAAGACAGGAAAACAACTTTTTTACTTTCAGTGTGTGGCTAGCCATACACTTGCAGATTTATCTTGTTAAATTAGTTGGATTAAATCGCTCATGTAGATGGAGAATTCTACTCTACCGGCTGCTGTATTCAGACAGCTAGCACCTGCAGATCGCTGAATATTTTTAAACATTGAGTGCATCTGAATGGATACCGTCACTGTTTGACTAAGAATTTTCCACTTCAGGTGAAGTTTGACTAGCTGATTGGTTTTAACAGGGCTACCCACTTCTGGATTTCTGGGTAGTTCAGCAAGGATTGCCTGACATTCGGAGTGATTCCTTAAAGTAGTATTAAACTCTCAAACTTTTTTCAATAATAAATCCAAATCCTTAAAATATATACATTGCTCAGCAAAGTATTTCTTTAAAATATTCCCCCATCACTTACAATCCTAGTTTCAGAACATCTGCAACTCTCTCGGATCAACGCCTCTGAACTTCTTGTCCAGTACAAGATCACAAGGGACAGAGCAGTCTCCAGTAAATGTACATCTACTAGCTTGGAGGAAGAAGGGAGGAGAGGGGAGCAGAGGGGGTGGGGTGGCTTGATTTGCTGTGATTGTAAAGAGGCACACGGCTTACTAGTACACATAAGGGTGGCTTCATAGGACCTTGCAGGGGAAAGGAGCCTCCCTAAAACACCATGTCCCTATATCTCCAGTGCTCTGGGGACCAGCTGATACTGCAGGAAAACTAAGGCCTGGTTCACTCCTACGCGCTGTAAAACGCTCAACATGTGAAAACCAATAATTGACCTATGGGTATGGTTCCCACCTGGGCGTTTTACAGCGCGTGGGAACGCGCTGAAAAGCGCCCTATGCCCAAAGAAGTACCGGAGCGTCTTTGAGGGCATATTTGCCGCGCGTATCCATTAGGATACAGCCGGATAGCCCTCGGAAACTCGTGTTTGTCGCGCTTTTCTTTTACCGCAAATCGTGGTGCAAACGCGCATATTCGGTACGCCCAGGTGTGAACCCAGTCTAAAACTTTTAAATATCAGGAGCAGCATCCATTCTAAGTGATTTTAGTCAGCATTTGAAATTGCGTAAAATCCTGTTGACTTTAATATCACTATAAGGTTGACAATATGAGATGTAATAACTGGAAACACTACTATCTCTCACCAATTTAGTTACTGGAGCCTCATAGCCACATTTTCCCCATGATGATTACAGTGGGGAATACTTAGAACTTCTGTCAGGTTCCCTCTTTTATATGACATTATTGATTTTATAACTTGTACATTTTGAGCCCTAGTATACACTTTAATATCACTAGATGGACTCAGAGAAAATGGGGGGCAAACGTGTGTAAATATTTGTTTACACTGCTGGCCCTCTCCTACGATGCTTCCAGCAGAGGTAAGTAGTTTGTGGTCTTGCCATAAAGATTAGCTATCCTCATCTGTAGCTCTCTGCATGTGCCAACAGATGCCTGTTTTCTCAGTGGCCAGACTTGTGTATGCCTAAGATTTTAGAAGATCATTGGTAGTACTGGAGGAAAGGAATGATGCATGGGGCAGTGTATACCACTCTTTCTACACATGTCAAGTGTGAAGTAAATTTTTCTGCAGAAGATTTGGCGATATTGGATATGGCTGTCAGCACTAAAGGTGCACTAATCCTTTTAGATGGTCTTTATTGCATTTAGATAAACCTATGCTAAGCTATAGGGATTTCCTAAATGTGTGAATACACAAATGGCTATAAACTGCTGCTAGTCTGGCATACATAAAGCTTACTGTATTGACCTTTGACCATTTTTCTTTATCTTTCTCTAGTCGAAAGTCTTCCCTGTTTTCTAAAGACAGACTGAAATATTTTTTGAAGTTGCACTGTGAAATACAGAATGGAATTGTAAAGCCTAAGGTAAAGGATGGGAGTTTCTATAGTTGAGGTCATAGAAATGTAATCTAGACAACTAAGTTTCACTAACTTTCACTTTTTTTTTTACATTTAAGTCGAGCTCAATTTCAAAGTACCAGATCTTGGAAAAGAATTACTTCCGTTACTTTCCTGATGAGCCTCCTAGGTTTGAGCCTTCAGCAGATCGAAAACCTGTTAAAAAGGTAAATTACATGGCATATCTAGACGAAGGGGGAGTTGGAGACGTGCATTGATTCCATCTTACTGATCTGTAAAGCTGGCAACACAAGGATTCTGCTGAATCGGCCAAAATTCAGTCCATGCATGGTCCTACACTATCCAGCAGGATAATCTGTATGGCCAGCGTTAGTCTGTCTTCAGACAAAGGTCTTTGTTTTGAATAGTGTGGCAAGGTTACAACCTCTGTTGGGTTTTTATTCCTGTGTATGTCCTCGGAAGCTTTCCTATCCATCTGATCGGATTCAACTGTGACATGGACAGCATTAAAAACACTTGTAGTAAAGCATAAAAGTTTTAGAAGATCCTGTGAAGATTCTGTTGCTGCTATTCACGTGAAGGAAGATTTCCTCTCCAGGTGATAGGTGTCAGAACAGGAAGAGATGAAAAAATGTTCTCTATGGAGACACAACTGTCAAAACTGATGATCTATCCCCTTGTGCAATCCAAAATCTTAAAAAGAAAAAAATATGTATGTTTGGAGCTGGGCAACAAACACAATAACATATTCTTGTCCTTATTCAAGAACAATTATGTAGTGGAAGCCAGTAAATGTGTGGCCACTTCTCCTTATTGTGTAATTGTATGGCATAGCATGGCTAATGCTTGATGATCTTTTGTAGACCTGATGTTCTGGGTATCTGTTTATTCTGTTTTTTTGTACTTTAGTAGAGAGTAAGAATAAACTTTGTTTAGAAATTTAAACTACCCGTTATCAGAAACCGTTGCTTTTTTGGTTTGTATTTTGTTAATATGGCTAATTACTGTTGTAGGACAATGGGCTCACACCCAGACAAAGCCTGCTCGCTGCAGCAAAGGAGCGGGAGAGAATCATGCAGCACAGGAGGGAGCTCAGAGCTATGGGTAAGATCATTTTAAAACCTAGGAACACTGGAAATCGTTCATTGTAGTGTCATAGTTTCTGTTTCAGTGACTTTGTCTAACTTCCCCCCTGGGACACTCAGTCCTCATACCTTACTAGGGTTTTGTATTTTCTCGTGTTCAAGAAATAGTTATCCCATCCCAGACACCCCCTTTCCATCTTGAATGCAGAGTAACCAGAAACCATTTGCCTTATGCCCCCCAGATTGCATGTCTCAGAGAAAGGAGGGGTGCATATCTTACATGACAGACTGCAAGTGCTCGTATGAGGGAACCCTAAAATCCTTGAGTGCAGACAATATATTTGCTGCATCCCTTCCCCCGGGGAAAGGAGAGGGTTTCTGGGCTGGTTTGGACACAATGGGTGCCAATGCGTTGGCAGAAAATTCTCTAGTCTTTGGCTAACACAAGTAGAAGCCAGGCTTATTTTTTTTGAACAATAGATTTTTATTAAGAAATAGGTCAGTAGCAGATGACAAATTCATTATTCAGATAGATACAATAGAAGTTGTGCAAAACTTCCAAAGCGTACACATAATTTGGAAAATATATATCAATACAAAGGCAAGGCAAATATCACAAATGCACATGAACATACAAAATAGTGTACGTTAGGTAGGTATGGGCTATCTGTGCAGGCCATTTAAATCAACAACTATACAGTCAGAACTGAGATAATGCGAAATAGAGAAGGAGAAAGAAAGTAAAGAATATCGGTCAGTGTGATTCTGTGTGACCGGTGAGAGAAAGAAGGTCAGGATGGTGAAAAAAGATCATATATATTACGGCATAACAGCGGCTTAAATTCCTACGGCTTAGGTACATAATAGTTCAACCAGGATTTCCATAGGTATTGAAACCTGCCTTGGGATTGGATTCGATAAGACATTGCTTTCTCATATTCGCATTGGGAGTTCACCCTTGACAGAGTTTTAGTCAGTGTAGGCACCATTACCGATTTCCCGTATCCTGCAATCAGCAGTCTAGCTGCAAATAGAAAATGCATTGCTACCATCCTAAACTCCAAAGCATACATTTCAATTCCCACACTGAGAAGCGCAAGTTGAGGGGTCGGAGTGTTAGGGATACCTGTGATTTTTGGTCCCTTAGCAGTTTGTGGTGGTCCACCCTTTTGATTGTTAACCTGCCTGTTTCTGGGCTAAACAAGGGAACAGTCATTCCATAGAAAGAGGCCCCTTCCTCCCCCCCTTCCTTATTGGAGTCAGCCAAGTAGATGATGGTGTCGGTAGCATGATTCGTATATTCTGTCTCCGTATATTTGTTACGGATGATTTTGGCTTCAGCCTTAGTATCCTAGGGACATTTTGACTGGGCTAGGCTTTTGTGACAAGACCTGGCCTAAGAAATAGGCATGCTCCTTCAGGCCCAATTGATCTGACAGATTGAATGGTACAGGGCCTTAAGTACCTGTGTGTTAAAGAGCTGGACTCTAGCATTCTGGTGTTATGCTGGGCGGTGACTACAGTGGTGCTGCAGGTGAGCTCCTGGCACTTTGGGAGCAAACCTTCAAGAAGGCATCGGTGGTTCCTACCTTTTTGTAGGTGCCTTTTTGTGAAAATACTGGGCAAGATCATAAAGAACATCACTGGGAGCAAGTGTACCTGTTTACCCCACTTCTGTAAGGATGCAAAACAAAAGTCTTGGGCCGTCCTTTATGACTCGTTCACTCAAGAAAAATGCAGATGTATTTTGTGTATGTATAATGCTTTTTATAATACAGTATGTTAAAAATGTAATTCATTGTAAGATGCGTTTTTTACATGTTTTCTCTCCTTCTCTTTCTCTTTTTTTTTTTTCTTCCTTCCTTCCTAAGGTGGTCTGATTCTTTCATCTGTATTAGGAGATTTGTGCTTCTTCCCCCTTGTCTGGCATATGCTGGATGTACAGTAGTTAGGGCCAGCCATACGGTTGTACCTATAAACCATCTCCTCTTTTAGGAAGACTGACTCCCCCATTTGTTGTCTTGATTGCTGCCTGCAAAGGACTGGCGGCTACCTTTTATCTCTAAATAGATTAGGCAGACCATATCTCAAGCCTTTATTAGACATTTTTCTAGTCACTGACAATTTCACCTGGGCAGGTAATGCCTCTTGGGATCACCACAAAATTCTTGTGTTGGGCCTGTGGCCATCTTTGTGTTTTATCCTTGTACTTTTTGCTACTAAATGGTAGTTTAGGTGGGTCAGGGTTGTTGGGCCATCTATCTTTTATTTTTTAACAAAAAACAAAAACTAGCCTCCTACTGTTGCAGATGGTGCTATAACCCACTGGTTTTGGTTGATCTATTGCTCAAAGGCTCTTAATGAACTCATAGAAAATAAATTTAAGGTTATTTTCTTATTGGTCTCATGGATTTCCTTATCTTCTTTAGAGCTGGAAAAAGAGAAAATAAGACGGGAACGTGCTGATCGTATAAAGTCCAGAGCTAAAGAAAGACAAGAACAAATACAGCAGAAGGAAGAAATCAAGAAGATCGCTGAAGTTGAAAAAATAAAGAAAAGAGAAGCGCGAGAAAGTATTAAGTTAGAAAGAGACAAGGTAATTGTTCTACTGAAGCCGGGACACAATCTTTTCCAGTCATACTTTTGGGGGAAATAATTGAGGCTGATGCATTTAAGCTGGTCAACATAAAATGAGGTAAAACATTTAAGATTGCTAATGGGGAAAATCTTCATTGGGAGTCCTTGTTCCATTAAATGAAGGTTGAAACCTGTCTGTTTGCTTTTGGCAAAAAATAAATGATGTGCTCTTTTCTTTAGTTAATACATCAGCCCAATTGGATTAGTTAAATCTAAAAGACTTGTAATGTGTATTTCTGTGTTAAACCGATAGAGGTGAGCTGTGAGAGTATAAAGAAAGTCACTCTAGAACAGCGTTAATTCTCTCTGTGTTAACAGCTGCCTCTGTTTTGTTACTTAGGCATCCATATATATTTGGCCTGTCTATTCAGTTTGATATTTCATATTGGCCAGACTCATTTTGTTAAATACTGTATATTTCACATGCAAGTGGAGTGTCATTGGGGGATTATAAGCATGCCCATCCAGTATTTTTAGGTATTTGGTATTCAATTTCCGTATTACAAAAATAAGTAAAATTATCCTTCACTCTAGGTGCAGATGTTTTTTTTTTTCACTTTGGTGCATGTATTGTTTTTACTTTCTTGACTTGTCTTTACCCACTCACGCTTAATGAGTAAAGTCCTAACTCTATTCATGTACAATAAACAAATGCATGTGATAAGAATGTGGGCCTATTCATAGTTACATAGTATTTGAGGTTGAATAAAGACATTAGTCCATCAAGTCCAACCTATTAGGATCTCATTCTAGGAGTACCTGTACCCCTGTATATTACGGTCCCTTAAGAAATCGTCCAAAAGTTTCTTGAACAATTCCAATATTATTTGCTGAAATCACCGCCTGTGGCAGTGAGTTCCAGACCCTAACTGATCTTACTGTGAAGAACCCCCTTCGCCCCTTGTGCTGGAATTTTTTTTCCATCAATTTTAGGTGATGGCCTCTAGTTTTTGTAACGGAGTTAATTTTAAACAGTTTATCGCTAATGTTGCTACCACCATTAAACATTTTGTACATGGAAATCATATCCCCCCTTAATCTCCTCACCTCTAATGTGAACATGTTTAAATTTAGTAGCCTCGTCTCGTAGCTCTGGTCACAAATTGCACAGATCAATTTCTCAGATATCTTTAAAGGTTTTGAGTATTAGGCTCTAATTCATAGAGCATTGGCTCCTATCTTTGTGTTCAAAGTGCAGCTCTTTGCATCTTAGGTACTCAGATTAGTATGTTTCTGTTCTAGTGCTGAGGGATGTAATGATTCCTTTTTGTTGGCCTGTATTTCAGGAACGGGAAAAAATCCGTGAAGAAAAACGAAAATACGCAGAACGATTAAAAATGTGGAGTAAACGGCGGGAGGATATGGAGTGCGATGACCTTAAGGTCAGTATGTTACTAGAAGGGATAGACTGCTTGTTTGGTTAGATAATCAAGGAAATGTATACTGGTTTTGTATATATTTTTTAAGTACCGATCAGGGCACACAAAAAAATGGTCTTGTAAATGTGTAATATTGCATGTGAATATTGGGTTGTGCTATATTATATAGAATCCAGCCAGCAGAGGGAGCTGGAGTCTCTTTACACTGCTTTTAAAATTTGTGAGCTGGAGACATACTGTGAAGGGAATTTATCAAATCTGAAGCAGCTGTGCATGGCAACCAATCTGCTTCTTTTTATTTTCAAATCTTAACAAATCCCCCCCATGCCTCTTCGGCAAGAAGTATTTTTTGCTTCCTTAGAAACCTTTACACTGAGCTGCTTTTTTTGAAAAATGTCTGTTTAGAGCGCTCCGTAGCTCAAGTTCAGATTTACCCAAGCTACTCAATAGGTTTGAGTGGTTACTTATCCCATTTTTTCACCTTACTTGCCTGCTCTGTTCAGCTGGGTATATGAAGGTTCTGTTCGAGAGACGGTCTGAAATGAAATTGCTTCTGCTGTGAATTCTCTATGAATCCTGTGTCACAGGTACGCCCAGTATTAAATGTTTGCAGAAACAATACTTGCATGGTAAAAAGTAACCCATAGTGCTCTCACAATTCTTTGTCATGTATTACATGTGTTTTTCTAAAACAAAGATTGTATATAGTTATTGAAAAAACAATAAAACAGTTTAAAAGTTTTATAAATGTAAAACTAAAAGCCTAGCCAACAACTAAATACATAAAATACATGTAAAAAAATCTGTTTTACCTTCCTTTTAAAAGAAAAACAATTACATTTAGGATGTATTTATGAATACATGAACTGTATTGATTTGTGTCTTTTTTATAGCTGCCTTAAAAGAAAATGATGGCCCAACCTTCTCCTTCTCCAGTACTCTTCAGGGTCAAGAGCAGGACATATACAAATGTCCTCCGGTGACCCAAAACTCCAAAAAGTATATAGTGGGCTATTGCCTGCTATATACTAAGAGCGCAGAGCCACTCTGTCGAGATCCACCCTGCTTGCTGATTGACTGCTGGTTCTGCCTCTCTAGACCTAGGGCCATTTTTTTTCCTTTTTATAAGATTGTCTGAAGTTTTCAGTATAGTATGTTTGTTTTTTATTCATTTTGAAACTTTTACTTGTAGGTTTATCTAAAATGTGCAGCATAAAATTTGTCTTTTTCAGGAGCTTCCTGCAGCCACTGCTGTAAAAACCAGACTTCCCCCTGAGTGCTTTGGGGATGCTCTTATGGTTTCAGAGTTCCTTCACGCTTTCGGAGAACTCTTTGAACTTAAGGATGAGTTTCCAGATGGAATGTCCTTTGGTATGTGTGTACATTTTTTTCTTTTATGGTTTTTTGGAGGTTTTTTTTGTTTATTTCTATAACTTCTTGTAAAAATGTTCATATTGTATAGATGTGTAGGTTTATATTTTGATATTGTTATACACATTTTTGTTTCTCCAGAGATGCTTGAAGAGGCTTTGGTTGGCAGCGATCCTGAAGGCCCACTATGTGAACTGCTGTTCTTTTTTCTGAGTGCCATTTTCCAGGCCATGTGTGAAGAAGAGGAAGAAGTGGCAAAAGACCAGATAACAGAGACGGAAGCCAAAAGTTAGTTTTTCTTTCTTTTTAAATGAAAGGCATACCATTCACCTGAACATATTTTAGCACTATACAATTTACTGTGCAGCTTTTGAACTGCTTATGAGCTTGAAATTATCCCTTGGAGAAACTGTAATTTGAATTTAAAGAGATGGGACTGGTTGGAAAGTTTATTGTGGTTTTCTTTGTATCTGCGGTGCAAGAGAAATAATTTGGTGCCTGATTCCTCAAGTAGATGTACCAATCGGATGTTTTATATATTTTGAGTTAAGATGGGATCATACAGAGACACTACCACCTTGTGTACACAAGGCAAAATAACAATGTCTGTGCATAAGACCCTGACCCCC